AAAAACATGATTTACAGGAAAAAAGCATTTTATGAAGAAAAGTCTGTTCTTAGAGAAATCAGTAGAACACAGTTTTATCCAAATCAGAGGGACTTAAAAAACTGAGTAAGTGACATTTCGACACTTAACCAGTTTTAAACGCGCTTGGCATGAATAAACTTCTCGTCGAGTAAAATAAAAAAAACTACCATTGATTATCAAAATCAAAATTTTCAATAAAATACAATAAGAATATTGCTTGGTAGTCTGTTTCCTTTATCCTTAAAACGGTTAAGTATTTTATAATGCGAGGAGATGAGGAGGCTGAAACAAATTACAAACGTAAGCAACGACTTAAAACAGCGAGCGTTGATTTGCAGTGAAACTGCGCAAACAATTAGCAAAGCTTTTGCTATACGAATTTTATATTTGTTTTGCAATATTTGTTTCATAATTGCAGAATTCCAGATATTCTTGAATACAAGTATACACGAAGTATTCGATTCGGAAGCTCGCTCTTCCTCGTATTAGTCTAAGAAATTATCTCATGTATTTGATAATTTTTGTCAAGTTTCTAATAACAGCAACCTTTTTAGAAATGAATTTTTAATTTCATAGTAAATAAAAATGCAATAATTTTTAGTTACATTTATAATAGGATCATTTGCCCTGCTTTCAACGCATATATTCGTCATTGCTTGATTTTAATTCGGTACCCAGTGGCGATTTCTAAAATTAGATTCCGTTTAATGGTTAACAGCAATGAATTTGTAATATCAACTTTCCACACTGTCAATTAAATTGCCGAACACCGAACAGATTAGACACATAGTAACCCAGAGCTCAGCAGGTATGGAGGACTTGAAGCAGAACCTCATCTGCAGTGGTAGTCCAAATATTCTTTATCAAATTCAAGTTCTGAGATCTAGCCGGTTAATCCGCCCAGGGCCGGTCCGTGCCGATTTTTAAGTGTAAGCCAAAATATTTATACCCCCATCATTAAGGATAATAACAAGAAATATGTTCATGGCAAAATAAATTTTACTCATAATTTTAAAAATAAGTCAAAGTCTCCAAATTTTATTTATTTACTTTTTTATATGAGAATGCGGTGCTAACTACTTATATAATGTACTTTTATTTAAAATCAATGGCGCAAAAAAAAATTCCTATTCAAAGCAATTTTAGTAAAGCAATTAAAATAACAGGTATCTATTTACATTTTTATCTACTAAATTTATTACCTATTTGTGCCTGGTATTTTCAAATGAAAAGAAAGTATTGCTTGCATACAATTATAAATCTCTTGCTCTTTTATACTTTGAAATTTTATTTGATAATGATAAAAAATTATTGGAAAATAAGGTATAACATTTTGCTTTGCTTTATATTTTAACATGCCAAAATACAAAACGTGAGCGAAATATTACAAAAAATTCAAAATTGCTCAAATGTTGGATTATTCAGATGTTTCATTCAAAAGTTTTTTACTTGATTATATGAATTCACTGCTAAATGTTTATTATAAATATTATTACATTTCTTAATTTATTCATCTAGCCCTATTCATAGATTGTTTTGCAAAGCATCGTCTTGAATAATCGTGTAAAATTTTACGAATAAAGGTAGAAGTACTTTTATCATTCATAATACCGATTTCATAACATCAGATTTCCATACTTTCTGATCGCTACGACATATCCAAAATGCCTGTTCCTAATATTTTGCTCAAAAATACAAATGACTTTAGACAATCTGGCATTTAAATTTTGTAAGGTAGACAACAAAAGATTTCTGATAACGTGGACATTTACATGATTGATTTTTTAAAAAAAAACTAGTTAAAATATATTCTACAATTTGATGCAACAAAAATGACATTAATTTCCAGTTCATCTATTAAAATTACAAAAAAGATTGATCACTAAAACTTAAAAATAATAATCAATGTGATAAATGCCTTGATATATTAAAAATAAAGCAAAAATTTGGCGCTTTTAAAAAATTTCAAAATTTTTACAGGTTATTAGGAAAATTAACATATGGAAAAATTATTAGGAATTTACAAATTAATACAATTTTTAATTTGTAAATATCTTAGAAATTTCAAAAATATTACTACTATTTAAAGAAAAACAGTCAGAACGTAAAATTAAACTAACTAAAATATAAATGTAATCAGTAAAGTTTAAAATGGGAAAAATAAAAACTTTTTGATTTTTTTTCTTTTTTAAATTATCATATATTTAAGATTATAATTTATGGATATGAGAGGTAACAAACAATATTATAGTTTCAAATTTCAATCAAATTTGACAGAATTTTAAGTTCAATATTGAGAAAATTACAAACAAGGAAAATTGAGTCACAAAAATATAAAAAAACATAAAATTTTGAAATCTGAAAAATCAACATTGAATTAATGTATTATATATTATTTTTATATATTTATTTGGCTATATATATGTATATATATATATATTAAAGTCTGCTTTAAGAGGGCGCCATACCGCGGGGAAAATTTCGTTGAAAATTCTCTTTCACCTCAATAACTAATTTAAAATTTAAAGTAAAGAAAAAGTGGGTTAATTCAAGGAGTGCCTGCTATATCCTTCCTCTAACATAGTGATTGTTAATTTTCTGACAAATCAGAAACAATCTTTCGCTTATTTGTTTTCCTTGGAAATTTTGCATTGTTTTTTGTGAATAGGCCAATGTCCAATGTTGTACCAATATATACCAATAAGAAACCACAATTTTTCTATTTATTTTTGTTATAAATTTTGCATGAATGATTTTTGTGAATAGACTAATATTGCACCAATATTTGTATCTTCCCCTTTTCCTTTGCAGGAAGAAAAAAAAACTTACCTTAACATAACAGAACATTTTGGAAAACATTAGAACATTTTGGGACGTGAAATAACTAAACTGAAGTCACTCAAATTGTCCCCAAAGGATTTTCTTGAAGAAACATTAAAGGTAACTCATCAGGCCCTAGTCTCTATGAGTAACCATCATCTGTGCATCAGCAGATGGTAATTTATCAGGGCAGAATGTCATCAGCACCAGTGAAAAGATCTAAGACATGGAATGCTGCCTTGCTACACAGTTTGAAGGGTTATTTTGTTATCTGAGTATCAGAGATATTTCAACATTTTATTTTAGGAAAATAAGTTCATTTAACCTTATATTTTCTATTAAGCAAGCGAAAACTTTTAGAAAGGGAAAACACCGTAAAAAGTTTTTTTTTTTTTCAATCTAGCTTTACTCGATTCCGACGCCTCCCTTACTCTGCGCCCTACACAGCTGCTTATGCTAATACCTCGAACCGACCCTGGATCTGCCTAACAAATATCTTCATATTTTAAAAAGTCCTCTAAATGGTGTTGTGCATGTGGCCACATGATGCCGTTCATTAAAATGAAATCTTAACTAGCTGCATCTCTAAAAAGAAGAACATAGGAAACAAGATATTATATCACAGTCCTAAGATATTATGTAACAGAACAGCAATATCATTTCTCTCCTATTATGTACAAGAACCTAAGAAAATAAACAAACAAAACATTAAGACAAACATTTTGATTTACATTTGCTAAAAATTTCAATAATCATGTATCATCATTCAATATAGATAGCATGAAAAAGAGCTATTCTGAAAATTTACTTACACAAGATTACAGATTTAAAAGAAATCCTTAATAACACATTCAAATCGTTAAGTAGTTAAAAGTTGGATTTTTTTTTTGAATGCAGAACACAACAAAAATTTAATCTTTTGAAGAATATATAAAATATACCTTTATCTTATAATATTAAAATATTTATTTTACTTTTTTTTCCTCTTTGATAAAGTTGATTAAAATAAAAATGGAGATATGAACTAAGTTATGCCAATGTTGAACTTGAAACCATTAGTAAACAAGCTTTATAATTACATAAATTTAATCTGACAAAATATCTTGTCCGTAGTGACCCAGAGGGTAACTAATCGCATAAAACTAATCGTTTTTATAACATATTGAATTTCAACATCAAGAAACGCATTCAAGTTAGCTTGGAAACAAAAGAATAAGAAATATAATATTCACAGATTTAGTTATATGTTGGAAAAACGCTGTTTTTACAGCACGTCTTTTTTGTGGAAAAAAAAGATCACTTAAAAGTAAAAGCACTTTATGTCCAAGTATGTGCATTTTATATCCCAAATTACAATGGATAAAGATGTTTGGTAGACAGATTCAGAAAAAAAAGATCACATCTGACTATGTGACTTTGATGTCGAGTGTATTGAATTACCAGAAGGTTCATTTAACAAAATCTATATTGAACAGCATGCATAAGGCATTTAAATTCCAATCTAGCATGCATTTTTACTCTTACATGCCCAACCGGGCATGCAAATGTTTAATCAGAAATACCCTAAAATACCAAATAAGAGCCTCCACAATTTTGATAACAAATTAAAATTTATGAAACAAAGTTACCTCATGCTTTTTTATGTAATGTACTGACAATTTATTAAATAAGAAGAAAAAAATGTCCACTACTGCATAAAAATAATTTCAATAGATGAACTAATAGTCATGTAATAAAATTTTGTTAAAAATTTTATTTGTTTTTAAAATTCCCACTTTAGTTAACTGCAGATAATAAGGTGAGGTGTCCTTAAAACCCATTTAGAAAACAACATTATAAAAAACACCTGAATAACAGGAAATCATAAAACTCGCTTACTTCACTTATGAGGAATCAAACAAAAATTTACTAAAAAATTTTAATATAAAAATATAAAATAAATCACAATTTCAGGTACAAAATTTGAGAAGTAATATAAAATTTCAAAAAACTAATTTTTGGAGCAGAAAGCCATTTAAAAAAGTTACAATTTGCATCTGGATTTGAGAGTGCATCATATATGATTCATATATTTTTATACTCCTTAAAACACAAAGTTTTTGGTGCTTATTGCCAAATGGTGGTTTTGGTTGCTGGCAAAACAACATTTCCATAATTTGAGAAATAATATAAAATTTCAATATTATTTCAACGAACTAATTTTAGGAGTAGTAGCCCATTTAAAGAAGTTACAATTTGCATCTGGATTCGAGAGTGCACCAACAGGTTGAGCACATATATAGAACTGTCTGCCCATATTTGACCCACTTTTCTTAACAGTTCTTAAGACACAAGGCTTTTGGTGCTTATTGCAAAGGGGTGGTTTTGGTGGTCCCCTAAACAACATTTTCCACTCCTCTGATGTTCCATTTGTTTTACTATTTACAAGAGAGTTCTTGTCATCAGCACCATTCTCTACAAAACTATTTGCATCGGATGTCCGGCTGGAATTTTCACTCAATACCGATAAATCTTTATCACAGGTGATTTTACTGCTTTGCATAGTAGAAGAAACATAAGGTGCAGATGTGGAGTTATTTTTGAAAAAACTAGTGATTGCTTTTTGTTTATTTTTCTTTTCAGGTGGTTTATTTTTGGTGAATGTCTGGGAACTCAATTCTTTATCATGAATGTCAGCTAAATTTTGTGCTTTTTGGAAAAAAGAATTGAGTTTTTGTTGTTGACCAGTAAATTCCGGCCACAAACGAGTACAGATGGGTGGTAACTGGACTTTCAATTCTGGTACAGGATCACATTTCAGTAATGCCGTGACTGGACAGTGGTCAGATCCTTGATAATCTGAAAGGATTTCACAACTAGAGAGCAGGGGAATCAAATTGCTGCTGACAATAACATAGTCGATACGAGTACCATAGTTCGTCAGCCTGGCTCCAGTTTTTGTATTCCAACAAGTATAGGCTTCTTTACGATCAGGATAAAAATATCTAAAAGCATCAACAGCTTTGATGTTTTCTGAAAAAATAAAATTTTAATTAAAAGGTAAAATATAAAAAATAAATGAATGCTTACAAATCACATATATTTACAGTTTGTAATATTTAATAAATTTAAACCTAAGTACAGTGAGTTTTGGCTTCGTATAAAAAGCCTATTCCATAAAATTTCACAGTTTAATAAAATTTAACTCATGTATAAAAAATGTTTCAACGAGATCTTATATCCTTTTATTACCTATAAGAATAAAACACCTCATGATAAATAACCATAATAATAACCTATACACCATTTGATATTAACAAACAAGAAAACACAAAATTTTATTTTTTAAAAAGTTACTGCTTTTTTTTTCTAACTAATAAATGTATGGTGATTCACATTCGTGTTCTTTTTACTCATTTATGTTTAATAAACAAAATAATAAAAATTAAAATATTAAAGGTACAACTTATACTAATTTTTCTTAATTTTCAGTTCATATTGTAAAAAAAAAAAGTTTTTACCAAATATTGTGGCAATATTTAAACTTTAAGACTTCAATAAAAAATAATTACGGTATGTATTATATAAATGCATTCTCTGTAATTTCCTAAGTAATAAACAACTTGCTACCGAATTTTCAATTCTTTTTTAAGCATCTTCTAATAAGTAATTTAATATTGATAATTTTGGAATCATTAAACAAAAACAAAAAAAAATAATTAAAGAATATGTTTGTGATTTGTATCACACTCTAAGGAATAGAACTAAATGTTAATCCTTAAATTATCAATATTGTAGAGTATGCATACAAAAAACCAAATGCTGATTACATTCTTTTGATTCCCTTACAATTTTCCAGGTATCTGACACCAGGGTCAAATTATGAGGCCTTCCTACCATGGCCGTTAACGCTATTTTTCAAAGCCTAGTTGCCCAAAGAAAATAAAAAAGCCATAGTTTAAGTGCCTCATAATTGAAGTAATGTGATGATTTTAAACTATATATATAATCTCCCCGTGAAGAAATATCTGGGCTTTAGAGCAGACAATTAACTAATATATTTCAAAAGTTATTAAACATCGCCAATTTGACGACATTTCCCCCCCCCCTAGATAGAAATTATCAAAGTCTCTGCCTTATTCTCAGTTTTTGCAAATTTTAATAATCCCAGGTAATGCAGCACTGGAGTAAATTTTTAAATATAAAAAAATTAAACTACAAATACTTTTCATTTTGGAAATTATGGCTTTTTTCCATATTGATGAATTTGCGCTATTTCAAAAATAACCACAGATATCGCTTGCTTTAGATTGATTTAACTTAACCTAACAGCAACAATTCCAAACTCACAGCAGTCATAAAAATAGCATATAATATGCAAAAAGCATAATTTCATATGACGACGGAACATCATTTTATATAACGTTCATTTTGAAAAACAGCCTTAAAAGATAGAGCCATAAAAACTGGTGTTAGGTACTAGGGCAAAATTGGGTGATGTGCACACAGAAAGTCAGGATGTTTCACAGAATGTTTTTTTGTCTTAAAAAAATTTAAAATAAAAAAAAAACAAAAGAAATCTATTCTAAGTTTTGAAAAAACCAACTCATTTCATTTTCACAATTTTTTTTTGTTTTGTTGCAATTCTCAATACATTAGTATGATTGAGTAAATGTAATAAATAGCATTTTTGTAATACATAAATATTATTTTGTTCTGATTTTATTAAGTTTGTTAATTATGTTTGTTCAATATCTGTTTGTGCAGAAAACTTTTGTTTTATACATCTTTTTCTTACATTTTTCCAAACATTAATTAGAAATAAAAGATGAGCAAAAATAATTCTGCATACCACCATTAATTTCTACTTCAGTTAAGAGAAAAGATTTTAGCCATTTCCGAGCCGCAGAAGAATTAAACTCCTAGAAAAAGAAAGTAAAAAATTAATGCATTTTTTCAATCAAAATGTCAACTCATAAAATAAATATTTTAGACATTAAAAAAAAGCAGCAGTTAAGATAAATAGGAACAAACTTGGAATATTTTAAAATAAATAGTATCTTTCTCTTGAGGCAGTTTAAAAAAGGAAATTTAATTCCTATTTTAATATCTTGTGCACATGCATCTAAATTAAAGAGTTCGTTTAAGATTTAATAGTTTGTTTTCTGTGTTAAATGTTTAAGAAAGAAATTTCCTTTTTTCAAGAAACTTACACAATTACATGGTTAAATGTTGGATTATATAGGAACATATTTTCAAAAAAAAAATAATGGTATTGGAATTGGAATATAATTCCCACATACATATATATACATATGATGATGGATATGACATACATACATACATATATATATATATATAGAGAGAGAGAGAGAGAGAACGGAAAATAATAGAATAAAGCGTAATGAAAAGAGAAGAAGAAAAATTATTAAAATTAAATATTTTTAAAAATATTTAAAACAAATTTTTTATTTTAAAAAAACTTATTAGAAAGCTGGAAAACAAAATAATTATTTTGTTTTCTAGCCTTTTAATAATTTTTTTAGATTTTTTTTTTTTTTAATATATTTAAAAACATTTTATTTTGATAATTTTGCTTCTTTTCTTTTCATTAATCTTTTTTATATTATTTTCCATGTTTTCCCTGTATTTTTTACTTATTTTATGAGTTCTATATACTTACTAATAATGAACAATAGATAAAACTTACTATTTTTCTTTGTTTATCTCTCTTTTTCTTTTTATCCCTCTCGCCTTTATTGTGCTATGTCTATGTGAGTGTGTGTGTATTTATACGTTATACAAGAATATCAGAATTTGTATTAGAATAGAAGAATATTCAGTGCAATTTTGGAAAATATGTTTAAATGGAATTCAATTCTATAACACAACATGTAATAGGATATACACATGGCATAATCACCTATACACAACCACATATTCAACATATAAATAATATATATAAAAGGATATACATACACATGTATACAACTACAGATACATTTAAATTATATGATCATTTAAGTTTAAGTAGGATGATGAAACCAGAATTTTATGACAAAATCAAGACAATCAACATAAAATAAATACACAATATTAACTAAATTAATGCATGAATTAGGATAAAATGTTTGTGAAAACTAAACACTTAAACAAAACTACATTGATAAGGTTATTTACACATAAAAATATAGAGCCATAAAAAGACTATTCTCCACTTGCAACTGCATTACATTCATTTTCGTTCACTCACTTTTGGATTATTTATTTATTATTATTTTTTTTTTTTTTTGAATATTTAAAGTATTAGGAAATCTTATGTTTTCTATTTGATTTAATAAATTTGATTCACACAGATTTGATTGCAACTATATATGTAAATAAATATCTAACAACTGATAATCATTCATATGTATTTAAGTAAAGTTAGTGATGTATAAAAATACAATATACATACTTTCTGAGCTTATCATAGCTTAGGATAAGACTCTTTAAACATTTTTGTATTCTTTGTTTTTATTTCTCCTTGTATATTTAATTTATAAATTGATATGTAAAAAGGAAATTTATATATTGAAAGAATAACTGACAAATTTCAAGAATAATTGTCAGCAATTTATATTCGAATATTTTTCTTTTTTACTGTTGAATTATAAAATAATGCGAGTGACAGTGTCATTTACAATTGTGTAAACTTATTAAAAAATTTCCTTTTTTAAAAAATAAAATGCTGTTTAAAAATGCAGAGTATTAAGAGTTTTTTAACAATAAACTTTTTTTATTCACCATTGAACATTGATTTTTTAGTTTTTAATGATTTTTTCCCCACCCATAGGCAAAATGGGTCTTGTTTTGGGTTTGATGGCGCGCACACTTTATTTGGACGTCATCACACCTTTCAACTGTGTTCAAGAGTGACAGTAAACAGTGTGCATGCGTTGTCATTGCATGTGTTGCTATGGCAACCGCTGCTGCTTGATAATTTTTTTAGAATTCTTTTTTCATTTTCTCTTCACCAGCAGTAATTCTTAATGTATTTACATCATAATAATTTAAAGTAATTTTATATTATTTTTATTACTAACTTATAATTACTGTTTTGACAGTGATTTTAATATAAATATGAATACTGAAGAAGTAAAAGTATTTTGTGACGTCTTGNTCAACCATGTAAACAATTTGTTAATGATTAATATTGAGGGCCCTGAAAGTGCATTTAACTTTCAAGAAGCATTTGTAAAATGGGCAAACATGAAAGAAAGGAAGATTGTTAATTATAAACCAAAATGTTTTGATAAATAATAAATGTGTTTTTTTTTGTTATAGGTATTCTTTTTGATATTCTTGTACATTAAGCTATTCTTTGTCAGATAACTTACAGTACTTGTTTAATATAAAGTAATTTTATAAGCCTAATAGCATTTTAGCATTTTGCTAAAACTTTTTTTCAGATTTTAGCTTTTTTGCTAATGAATTTTTAGACTCAGCTTAAACCCTGATATAAAGGGATATACATACACATGTATACAACCACAGATACATTTAAATTATATGATCATTTAAGTAGGATGATGAAACCAGAATTTTATGACAAAATCAAGACAATCAACATAAAATAAATACACAATATTAACTAAATTAATGCATGAATTAGGATAAAATGCTTGTGAAAACTAAACACTTAAACAAAACTACATTGATAAGGTCATTTACACATAAAAATATAGAGCCATAAAAAGACTTTTCTCCACTTGCAACTGCATTACATTCATTTTCTTTCACTCACTTTTGGGTTATTTATTTATTATTATTAATATTATTATTTTTTTGAATATTTAAAGTGTTAGGAAATCTTATGTTTTATATTTGATTTAATAAATTTGATTCACACAGATTTGATTGCAACTATATAAGTAAATAAATATCCAACAACTGATAATCATTCATATGTATTTAAGTAAAGTTAGTGATGTATAAAAATACAATATACATACTTTCTGAGCTTATCATAGCTTAGGATAAGACTCTTTATACATTTTTGTATTCTTTGTTTTTATTTCTCGTTGTATATTTAATTTATAAATTGATACGTAAAAAGGAAATTTATATATTGAAAGAATAACTGACAAATTTCAAGATTAATTGTCAGCAATTTATATTCGAATATTATTATTATTATTTTTTTTTTTTTACTGTTGAATTATAAAATAATGAGAATGAGAGTGTCATTTATAATTGTGTAAACTTATTAAATAATTTCTTTTCTTAAAAAATAAAATGCTGTTTAAAAATACAGAGTATTACGAGTTTTTTCAACAATAAACTTTTTTTATTCACCATTGAACATTGATTTTTCCCCCCACCCATTGGCTAAATGGGTCTTGCTTTGGGTTTGATGGCGTGCACATTTGCGTGCACGTCATCACATTTTTGGCGTGCAAGTCATCACATTTTTCAACTGTGCTCAAGAGTAACAGTAAACAGTGCGCATGCGTCGTCATTGCACGTGTTGCTATGGCAACCGCTGCTGTTTGATAATTTTTTCAGAATTCTTTTTTCATTTTCTTTTCACCAGCAGTAATTACATTATAATAATTTGAAGTAATTTTATATTCTTTTTATTACTAACTTATAATTACTGTCTTGACGGTGATTTTAATATAAATATGAATACTGAAGAAGTAAAAGTATTTTGTGACGTCTTGAAACACATATATAGCCAGGATTTTAAAACTAATGTGACGACAAAGATCAATTGAGACAATTTCTGAAACCCAAGATTTGAAATGTTGTGGCGTTTATTGGAGTCAAACCAGAAAAAAAAGCATTTGACCAACGGGGTAACCAGTAAACGTAATAAAGCAATCACAATTTTTTTTTTAAATTTCTCTTCTTTTTGTTAGAAATTTAACTTTTAGCTTCCCCTTCCTCCAGTTTGTTGTTTACATTCTATAATAAATGTAGATTTTAGAGCCGTAAATTTTTGAATGTCAAGTGTCTACAATTAAAAAAGAACTCATTCAGATTAGTAAATCAAGATTTATCACATGGAATACTCTTAAAAACAATACAATAAAATAAAAGTTGAGTAAGTACTGATCTTTATTTTAAATTGAAGTGAAAGTATCAAAAACTTTATACCTTTTCATCACTGGGATCACAATGATCAATCACAGAACATGATATATTCAAATCTCCGACTATTACAACAGAACTATAAAATAAACATCAACATTTGAGAATTTATTTTTAAAAAAGGCATCCTTTTTTAAGCAATACAGTAATAATCAAATTACACATTATGATTGGTATTTGATCGTAATATGAAATCATGACGAACTTCCTAATGAAGATAGGGTATACTTAGTGATACATATGACAAACACATATAATTAAACAAAAAGCACAAATGAGGGCTTAAAAATAGAAATAATAAGTGGTTTTTAATGGCATAGATAAGAAAAGGATTTAGGGGGTTCAAACACCCCCCCCCCCACCAATTTTTATTAATTTTCTCCTTTTACTAGTTTTAGAAAACATTGTAAAAACAACTTTTAGATACAAAAGTTTTTATCAGATATATAAAAAACAGCATAAACATTCCTGTCACCACATTGATATAGGCTCCTGTTCTTCAAAAGAGCAGTACTATACAATCAGTGATGAAAACTTGTTAAAAGGGTGCGTCCTATTAATTTTACAACATTAAATGTTCACAGGTTCAAATTGTCCTACTTTCTCTCAATTTTTATGTTGATGGCTGTGGAAGATTCACTTTTGAACTATATAGAGTATCCATACTTTGAAGGAAGCAGAATAAGATAATTTGTTTACCCGAATTTCAGTCATAAATGCTACTCGTGTAAAATTCCCAAGAATTTTTGGGGTGCTTGTTAGAATTGAAATAACAGATGTATAAGTTAGAGTTAACTAGGTAATTAGTTTCTTTATTAATTTACGTATATACTTATTTTTTTATTGCAGTTACAGAAGTGGCTAAGGGGGTTAAGGGGTTTGTCCCTCCCAATTTTTTTTCAAGATTGAAAATTATTATTACATATCTATGTAAGTCGTCAGAATTTTTCTATAAGAATATTTGAACACCTACAAATATTGACAACCAGGCACCTGGTTACAATAGGGTAAATTTATTTTTTGTACACCAGGTTTAAAAGAAATATAGAGTAATAAAAAAATTATATTACTGTTATTTTATTCCAAATTATCCAATACAGGTTGAAAAACAAATATAGCTTTATGCATATATTCAAATTATTCAACCCACTGTCGGTTAAGCAAATGGCTAAAATTGGGAGAATGTTTCTCCCCTATACACTATTCCCCTATCTACTAACATGGAAAAACCGGTTTTGCTATGCAGAGAAGACTGCAGGTTAAAATGCGACTTTTTACGTGCAGAACCGTCAGTGGGTTAAGCGTTATTTTATATTTAAATTGCCTGTAAAGAAATAAAAGAGTGCACAAAATGTATTCTACTAACCATCCCTGTAAACACATTTCATGCATTTTGGCCTGCAAAAGTTGGCAAAATTGTAACTTGTAGAGATGCCTCTCCGGTTTCTCAGGATCCACTCTCGGGCAATATACATTTATAACAGCAAGCCTTTGTATTTCATCATTGTGCCTATTCAATAATTTAAAAGAAACATAAATACGGCTTACATTAAGTAACTGATATCTAAATCAAATGGAATGCAATCTCATTATTTTAACCACATAACATGATACTAATATTATAAAATATGCTGAATGTTATTTAATGCAATTTTAAAAATAGTTTTACATCTCATTTCCACAAGGCTTTAATTAGAGACAGAATTCAGATTTTCAACTATTTTTTTAGGTGATGGCTATTTTATTTAATACATAAAATAACTAAATTTAGTTAACCCTGCAAAATGAAAAAGAACCAGAAATACGCACAAAATAAAAGATATTTGAGTACATAGATTTTAGGAAACAAAATTTTCTCTATAAGTAGTCTCATATAAACTTTATACAACTACTTATACTTGGTTTGTAATAGCTTAATTAAAAATAAATAAATAAAAATGTTTCATTGATTTGTGAAAAATGAAAGATTGAGGATGATATGAATTTTAGTCAAAATTAAATATTGTAACACCTGAAACACAAATAAATAAAAGCAAATTTAAATCCTAGAAAAAAAAAATTAAAAATAAGACTATAGTCAAGATATACTTCATTAGATGATGAGTGATCATAACTCTTCCTTCAAAATCAATGTTTGTATCACAATCAAGATCACCAACGGAGTCAATCCAAGTGACATCTACCCTCATCTCTTCTTCGGCATTTTCAGGCATAAATTTATCTTCACAATATGTGGCGACACCAGAATAACCACTCTGTTTCCTTGGATAACTGAAATATGATGTGCAACCGTCTAAGAGTGCAGTCTCCTCTGATAGCTGACTGCCTAATAAACATTCAGAAAAGAAAACTTATAATTTAATAAAAAATAAACTGTAAACTCAATTGTATTTACAACATACAAATGTTCATAGTGTTCTGAATGGAATAGCTGAATGCATCTACCTAATGTAATGTACTGGGAGTTCATTATTGATTTTATATAAGACTTCATAGCTTTCTCCTCCAGTAACAGGTTGTACAACTTTCTTAACAACAGCTATATTTTATATATTTCCAGAAACAAGTTACTACACCTTTTTAAGGAAAAATTCAGTCTGAAAACTAATAAACACCAAAAATTATCATTTTATAATGAATGTCTTTTGCTACTTATGTTGTTCAGTTTTTTTTTTTAATGACTTAAAAGTATAAATGGACAATTAATATCCTTCAAACCATGGGCGTCAAAAATATCCAATTGTTAAAGGAGATAAAATTAAACTAGTCACAATAGTTTTATAAAACTCCCCACAACAGAAATTTTCTTATTTAATATACTAAATATTTGCAAAAAGATTAAATGGTTAAATTTCCATCTTTTTTTAACTTAAAGGAATTTAAATCAATGATAATTCATGTAAATTTTCTATATTTGTTTGAAATATTGTGGAAGACTCGAATTATTGAGAAAGAAGCCCTTCAAAGACACCCAAGCGTTAACTCACTGTAGCATTAAGTTGATCCGATATCAATAATTAAATTTATTATAATAACCAACATAATTCCTTTTTAATGGGACATTTATTCAACTGTTCCTGTGGGCCCCATATTCCCAGTTTGTTCCAACAAACAAAATTTGCTTTGAGTAATTTAATTTTGGGAAGATTTCTGTAATATCTGCGTTGAAAAGTCACCAAATATTTGCGAATATCGCTCGTTGGTACACAAGAAACACATCACTGAAGAAGACAATTTATTTTTAATTTTTGTTGGTTAAAAATCGTTTGTCGCCTTGTTGAAAGTAGTCTGCGCGAATAGATATTAATTTGGAAATTATTTATTTAAATTCAAAAACTTAGACTCAAAGATAAGGAATAACTTAAATGTTTGTTTCTTTTATAAGCATATACAAACATCATGTAGAGAAATAAACATACGAGAGATTTTTGTTTCCTGGAAACACACAACATCAGACGAAAAATCTTGCAGTACACATTTTACACTCTTCTTGAGTGATCTTATACCGTTTACATTCCAAGTAGTTATTTTCATTGTTTAACATATACATAAACCTTTAATATATAAGTACTACACAAACATGCTCTCACGAACATAAATAAACACTAAGATTTAAGAATGCGGAATTTCTTCAAAGTTTAAAACTTTTTCGACTTAAAAAACTGAACGACAAGCACTGTGTTAATTCTGGTATTAAAATGCCACTTTAGAAATTCAACTGAAAAAACTGTGCGAAAGGGAAATATATTTTACGGTTTCCATCACGGGAAACTAGGATGCTGGAAATTAAAATTTCATATAATGCTGGCATCTAGCGGTCAATTTTTTAAACTAAACATTGTAAGTTAAGAATTTATTTTTTCAAATAATTAAATTATGTGTTCAGTATTTAAATACAAAGAGAAAACTCTTAAACATAAATTACTTAATAAATTAAATTTAATTAAACTCGCTTGAAAATTAGTCGGTGCCAAAGATTTTGATTATGTTTTATGTAGAGACAAAAATGAGAAACATTGGTGTAATAAAGAATGTTTGTATATTAAAAGATTTAACAATTTAAAGTAATTTTTTGTTTTTCATGGTCTTGCCTAATGCAATATATCCTTAAACAATAAACCAACGTCAGATGAGCCGTGAAATAGTTTCAGATCTTATTAGAGGATACCGCAAGCCGCAACTCGGAAAAGTTATTGGGATCACCTGCTTCCTTAGAAAAAAAATCAAAAATTGATATAGCTAAGTTTTTTCTAATATACTGAAAAATGCTAATATTTAGTTTTCATCAGAGCATTCCGAAAATATTCAAAAGTTATTTAATATCCAAATATACTCCCTTTTGGTGTTCCTTCCAAAAATTTTGAAAATTTGTTATGAATAATAATTAAAAACATCTATATTTTTCTCAATGTTGCTGTTACTTAAAAAAATCCAGATTGAAGCTTAAAAATTTATTTATTTATTTTTGCAAAATAGATAACTAAGAACAGGCGATCACAAATGGATATTTAATTAAGTTAACTAAATATATATTTAAGATAATTAAGTTCATTAAAAATGTATCTTTGAAATTGTAAAGATACATTTTATTCTCGACTGCAAAATCTGTATGATAAAAGTAGTGCAGTGCTTTTGTATGTAGAATAAATAGTTATTTTTTTTTTAACTACGAATACTTTACATCGAATTTGATTTTTTTTAAAAAAATAACACCAACATAGCAACATGGTTTCAGATTCAAACATGGAGTTCTATATCATGAATATGATTTACATGATAGGCATNGGTTTACTGGAGGGAAAATCGTCCAGGAATCACGTGACGATGTTCTTTGCAACGAGGGATGGGGGACTGGTTCTCTCTACCTAAATTACTCCTCTAAGGTCTAAACCCTATAATATGGATTTCATTAAAATGGCAAAATTAAATTGAATGAAATTCCTATAAATGAACTTAACCATAAGTCATTATGTTTTATTTAGTTCAATAAAATTAAAAACAAAAACTTCATTATTTTATTGCCAATATTTTCACAATACGTTAATTTTTTCCAGCAATATATTATTGATTTAACGATTTCTTGCTTAATTAATTCAGTCAATAATATGTGGGGGGAATTATTCAACAATGTCAACCTTCATCTGTCAAAAGATACCTCTTGATAGAATCAAGTTAACATGTTTTATTCACTAAGGAATTGGTTTTTAATATTTATAGTGGTAGTTACGCCCTATTACTCCCCTTCCAGAATTTTATTTGTGATAGAATTCGATGAACAAATACCACTAGTTGATTTATGCTGTTTCTCTTTTTATTTATTTTTATTAATATATCATTTTCCGTCATTATTTTTTTCTCTTCTTCAATATTGTTTATTTACCGGGAGACTTTATTTACTTCGCCATTTTTTTCTTTGAGCAGTATATTTTTTTAAACAAATCAACTATTGAATGTGGACTATCCACCAATGTTAACAAGTTCATGTCACATCCGCAGGTCACCAATGTGGGGGGGGGGGAATTATTCCATAACCTTCATCTATCAAAAGGTACCTCTTAATAGAATCAAGTTAGCATGTCTTATTTACTACGGAACTGGTATTTAATATTTATAATGGTAATTAAGCCACAAATATGCCTCGATTCCTAAGTGATTAAAGTACTGAACATGAACTGCAATTCTGAAGAACTGCGCTCAATGGCAGCTTGAAACCTTAAGACCGTTGGGTTATAGACCGTTAGCTTGAAATAAAGTCTGCCTGCTATTTTGTCACAATCAGACCGTTGGTCACAAAGTTGTTGAGCCTTAAACCCCCATGAGTCCCTGGACCACAACGGGCTGTGATGGGAATGCTTTTCTTTGATTCTAGTCTGTAAATGAATAAACCATTGGATAAATGAATATAAAATAAAGTAGATGCAGATATAGAAAGTGGTTTTATGCCTAATTTTTCCATGCAATAAATAAAATAAAGCCTGCATCTAAACAGATGAAATAAAAATAATTGTTTTATATAAAATTACTTTTGATTATTCATTGTTTGAATTAATCTTTATTTTTTCCCCTAAACATGGAAAGGATCTCCTACAATTTAATGGACACGTAATTTCTATCTACCCTAAGCTCTTTATGTTTTCTTTTATATAACTTTGTCTCGTTACATAAATTTTTTTTTTGTCTCTTAACATAATTTAATTGCATGAAATCGCCTATTTTCCCTATTTGAGGGATCTGCTCCTTGTTAGTTATCGCTTGCTAATCCCCAAAAATGCTGAAGCAATTCCTTTCAGATTACTTAGCATTCTAAGCTGGCTTTACTCACTCCTTTCTCCTAAATTTTATATATTACCCCAGCGCTTATGCCTTCATACACTGAAGAGCCAAAAAAACTGGTATACCTGCCTAATATCGTGTAGGGTACCCGCGATCACGCAGAAGTGCCGCAACACGACGTGGCATGGATTCGATCAATGTGTGAAGTAGTGCTGGAGATAATTGACACCATGAATCCTGCAGGGCTGTCCATAAACCAGTGGGAGTAAGAGGGGGTGGGGATATCTTCTGAACATCACGTTGCAAGGCATCCCAAATATGTTCAATAATGTTCATGTCTGGGGATTTTGGTGGCCAGCGGAAGTGTCTAAATTCAGAAGAGTGCCGCTGGCCACCAAAATCCCCAGACATGAACATTATTGAATATATTTGGGATGCCTTGGAACGTGATGTTCAGAAGATATCCCCGCCTCCTCTTACTCCCACTTATGGACAGCCCTGCAGGATTCATAGTGCCAATTATCTCCAGCACTACTTCACACATTGATCGAATCCATGCCACGTCGTGTTCCGGCGCTTCTGCGTACTCGCGGGTACCCTACACGATATTAGGCAGGTATACCAGTTTCTTTGGCTCTTCAGTGTATTTTTTAATTTATTTTAATTACATTAACGGTTACTCCCTCTGCTTTTTATTGCTCACAAATCCTCCAAACTGTATGTTTCCATGACAATGAACCTCCCACTCCCCTATATGCGTAATACCTGTGTACTCCTATGTAAAAGGTGGTGATAGTTAGAAATCAATAAAAAGAGATCGAAAATGCAAAATATTCTCCTTGTTTCTTTAAAAATGTTTTAAATATAATGATTGATGATAGATGAAAATGACTAGTTAAATTGGAAAATTAAATTAATTTTATAAGCGCTTTTTCTGGCACTGATAGTATATGGACACTTGTCAAAGGATGAGAACAATAATACTAACTACAAAGAATTTGAAAAAATTTTTAATTCAAAATAAAAAAAAAATTCTATAAAATGAAACACTGTAATCATAATATGCTTGCAAAATATAATTCACATCAAGTGTTTTTAAAAATCATTAATTAAATCTTTTAATCTGTAGTGTTAAACATTTAAAGATTTTAGACATATTGGAATCACAAGTCACTGATTCTGGGCTCAGTGCTTATCAAAAAAAATTTTAAAAAATAGACGTAGCTTAAATAAGAAGGGGGGGGGGTCAAACGGGACTGAGCCCCACCTAACAATATCATTTGCCCCCGAGGAAAAGTTTTTTTTTTAAAAAAATCACAAAATTTTATTATATAAAGTTAATATTTATATTAGTTTACATATTATACTAGTTTATGTATTATACTAGTTTATATATTATCCTGAAAGGCACTACTTCGAGCTCGCTCTGGTCATCAATACCCACATTTGATACAATCAATTTTTGTTCCTTACGATAACCCGATTTTTGCATCTATTGTAACCACTGGAACTTAACTGACACGCAATTAAAAGATGTTAACCATCTTTTAGAACAGTGGTTTCCAACTGGCGGCCTGCTGGCCGCATTCGGCCTGCGAACTAAAACATATTAGTTGACATGTTTTTTGCGGACACCTAATTTCTTCATTTCTGTGAAATGTAACATACCAACGGTGCAAAAAAATTTATTTCTCAGGTTTTGCATCCAAGAAAATATTTATTAAAATACAAGAATAATCGTGTATGTTGCTCTCATTTTTATCTCGTTTTTTATTTTTATTTTGTAAATATCATTTAGCATGTGCGTATCTGAAATTTTCTCGAAGAAATTCTCCGATTTAACTTTTTGAAACCACTCATTTGGGACAAAATTATTTACACACATTTGTAAATTTAAAATGTAAATATCTATTCTCTGGTGGTCGTAGCAGACAAACCTCAATTCTCTCATTGCGTGCTACTATGTAAGTTTTAATAACCTTTTTATAAAGTTTTATATTTTAAAAATTAGATATCTGTTGCACATTAATTGTTTAATACATAGGTGCACATTAAAGTTATTGTAGCCAGAATTTTTTAATACGCAATTAAATATTTTTAAAAATCTACTTCTTATTTTAATTTGTAATTCAATACTTTTGTTTTGTATAATTTGATAAAAATCTGACAATAATATTTCATCTTCCTTCAAACATAAAAGAGTCCTATATAAAATTTTGATAAAGTTGCTGCCCGCCACTTGACTGGTGTTTATAATTGTGGCCCCCGGCCTCATGTAAGTTGGAAACCCCTGTTTTAGAACATCAAACAAGGAAATTTTTCAAAAATATTGAAACTGAAACTTGTAATTATTTAACTATAAAACCTTTAATAATAGAGGAAATGACAGTCAACATTTCCTATTGTTCTC